TTTTTAAGTTACCAAGCGTGAGTCTTTGTGAGTATCAGGAGTTGAACATACGAAAGAAACGGTCAGAGTTCTTGTTACTGATTAAAATTGTCGGTCATTGACAGTGTTATTGGCACGGTCGTTTTTAAGTTACCAAGCGTGAGTCTTTGTGAGTATCAGGAGTTGAACATACGAAAGAAACGGTCAGAGTTCTTGTTACTGATTAAAATTGTCGGTCATTGACAGTGTTATTGGCACGGTCGCTTTTTAAGTTATCAAGCGTGAGTCTTAGTGAGTATCAGGAGTTGAACGTACAAGGAAACCGGTCAGAGTTCTTGTTACTGATTAAAACTGTCGGTCATTGACAGTGTTATTGGCACGATCGTTTTTTTAAGTTACCAAGCGTGAGTCTTAGTGAGCATCAGGAGTTGAACGTACAAGGAAACGGTCAGAGTTCTTATTACTGATTAAAATTGTCGGTCATTGACAGTGCTATTGGCACGGTCGCTTTTTTAAGTTACCAAGCGTGAGTCTTAGTGAGTATCAGGAGTTGGACATACAAAAGAAATTGTCAGAGTTCTTATTACTGATTAAAATTGTCGCTCATTGACAGTGTTATTGGCACGGTCGTTTTTTTAAGTTACCAAGCGTGAGTCTTAGTGAGTATCAGGAGTTGGACATACAAAAGAAACCGGTCAGTTGTCTTGTTACTGATTAAAATTGGAATAAATTTCGATTGGAATGTCGCGCGGGGTCAGTGACCTTGTGTGACGTGGAAACTATCTTCATATCCACACATATTTTTGTTGAGATTTTATTACACTTATTATTTGCTTCGTGAGCGCAAATACTCACGTTGAGCTCCCATGAGTAGGCACTACCATTATACACCTTTTCTTTCGTCTGCTGGAATCTCTAGTCCCCTATAAGCTCATTCTATTACTCGAGTCGAATCAACTCATTTGACTATAGTAGAATTATTTTGTCCGTGCAGTTTGGGTCATAAAACATAGGCCGGCTAGGGCGGTGAGCATGTTGCGCGGGTGCAACGCCATTATCGATAAAAACAAATGAGTTATCGAAGGCAGGTACACGGCGGCGGGGCGGTATAAAACGCGTCACAAAACGAAGAAAGGCCTAAAGTCATTTGAAGAGTTCAACCTCTTAATTATTGGACAGTTAAATCTATCGGGTTTTTTCTAAACACTTAATTTAATCAATACCTAATTCTAATACTATTACTAAAAAACTTGTCTCTATTATCTTCTTAGAATTCGAAGGTAACTTGAATATCCACATTCGCTTTCTCTAACCAATTCTTTGAGATTTGCCTCAACTTCATATCTCATTTGTTCTGCTTCTCTCATTTTAGTAATCCCATCTCTTAAGGTATAAGCGGGGACTCTTGGATTTGCTGGATCGCGGAAGAACGGCAAAGTCCTGAAGTAATCTTTCATTTTGTGGTCTAGGATACCAAGAACAGATCGAGATGAAGTCTCTGGGCCAGTTATCAAAACTAAGCTCACTTCGATCTTCTTCGGTGGTATGATGTTACATTTGACTTCTAAAATCGAGAGAGAGTCCAAGATTGAAACGAGTTGGTCAAAATTTCGATAAAGTGATGTTAGTACAGATAATACAAGAAGAGATACTATTTGTTCTTTGTTAACAAATGGTATATAGACCATGATCTTTTCATGATAATCTATAACTTCAGAATTTCTTTCTATTGCGAGAAGACACATGATTAAATTCCTTTGATGTCTTTTCGTAATAAAGTGTTCTGAAATTTCTTCGACTTGATATTTCTCCCTGACTGTCCAAACACAAGGATGACTCCTTACACTTTTGAGAAGACTCTCATTGGCCTGTCCTAATATGTGCTTCAGGTAATTTACCCTGTTAGGTCTTGTTGATAACAGCTGAATCTTTTTTTGTGCTAGTTTCCAATTCAAAGAATGAAGTTCTCCAATGGGTTCTTGTGATTCTATGTAGTTATTCTGTAAATCCAGAAAACAAACTACATAGACCTCATCATTATGAGGATGGCTGGCGGATGGTTTGTGGAAGTCGCAAAGATATCCAAGAGACTTGCACCGATATCTTATGTGAGTTAACTCGTCATGGGATTTGATGAACATTTTGTTTATAATTAAACTTGCAGGTGTTAGATAGGTTCTAACTAAAGGAAGGTATATATCCAATTTGTCGGTGTTAGTCAGATCTGTTTTTAGTTCTGCATCCATATTGAGAATAAGGATTGCATGATTTTCGCTCCGTATTATAGTGGTGAATTTTTCAATGAAAGCTTTGTTTGTAATATCAGTTTCTCCTAGACATGTTTCCTCTAAGTATAATAGTCTATCTGTAGGACTACATTGATCTCCGACTAATGCTGGAGGACTTATGTTGAGTACATTCTCTTTATTTTCGACGATGTCACTTTGCAATGTATTATAAATCAGATGAGAAGTGGTGAACAAGTGAGAGAAGTAATGGAGGATTCCTCCTGATCCCTCTGCTAGTGTGATGATCAATCCCTCTTGAGGAAGTATTTCTGGATAATAACTCATTACTTGATGAATTTTTGATGCTGAAGTACTAATTCTTCCAACCTGTCTGGTGCAGTGATGAACCCACTTTACCCATAATGGACTTTCTGTCATTCCGTGTTCTAGCAGGGAGTCAAAAGAGAAGTGGAAACAGTCGTTTAATGGCTCACTAATCTCGATTCTCTGTGGAGAATCATTATCTTTGACCATCTCTTTGTTGAATCGGCTGGATAAGGGAAACCTAGGCTCTATGTGTTCACTTATCTCACTCTTGAGATCACGCCAAACAGAAATTGCATCAGTTTCTTCGAATTTAATCTCAACCGAGAGCCCCTTTGTTAGATCTATAGGGACCTTCGATCTCCATTCGTGAACATTAGACCCTCCGCATTGAGGAATTCTCATAATCCCTCTTTTTTGGATGGTTGTTAGTCTTGAATCTTCATGGATAAGGTGTCCTACAAAGATTCTCCAGAAATAAGCTTGTTTAGAAATTAAGTCAGAGGAGAACGTGGTAAATGCACAGGCTCTAAAGAACATTCCTTTTCTATTTCGGATATACTCTAGAGTTGACTTAGCAAGTATCTTTGCTAGTCCACTTGTTTGAGTCACTGAGGAGTGCTTCTCTATAGGAACTCCTAGGAGTTGAAGTATTTCTTGCATTCTCTCACTGTTGATTATTAAGTAAGATAAGTGTTCGAATATCGAGACAGGATATTCTCTAGAGCTTCCTATTACAAATTCTACTAGCTGCTTGCTTCCTTGTAATGCTCCAACCAGGACATAGT